GGGGGGGGGGGGGGGGGAGAGAAAGGGGCATGTAGCCTTTTTCATATACCTTGCTTTACTTATTGCCACGCAAAGTTTACTGACCGATTCCAATGAAGTCGAATAGTTCCGTTATGGCGACGTCGAAGTTTTCGTCCTTCAATTGCTGTAGAATCTCTTTATTATCCAGCACATCTAAGGTTGTCATCAAATTTCTACTGGAAAGCTCTATGTTGCTACAAAAACTCGTTCTACCCACTTGATAAAGTCTTCTCTGCAATACCGGCTAGCAGATGAGCATTCTGAAACGGAAGATGATAGCCTGATGTGGGAGCAATAAGCAATGTAGTAACATGAGATTATCCCGAGCCATATATACTAGTTATCAGAGAGCAAATGCTTCCGCGAGGCATCAAGCACTATCGCGAAAAGCAGCGCGACTTCCTTCGAAAAAAGGGGCGCTTCATCGAAGGTGATCTGAGACCGTCAATACGGCAACTTAGATCGCAACGATTGCACGCCAAAAGACGGGCATATAAAGGCCGCGTCGCCCAGGGACGCTCATTTTTTTCTCCCCTTAACTTCTTATTGACGGCCCTAGTTTTTATATCTTCTTGCGATTGATTGAAGACTTCTCTTGCGATTCCAACCTGAATCCTTACAGTTAAAGGTTTCTCTTCCGTTCCGCTGTATGTTATCTGTTTTTGATTGTTCAAGGTTGTTTGATTGTTATCGTTTTTGATTAGAGCCATAAACGTATAACCACCCAGGTTTGAGGTATCTCTCGTGAACGAAGTATTCTATACTATTCTATTCTATATACTGAGCACCTCTTTTTCCTTTCCATGGTGCATCCGGACCAACCATGAGGAACCCAGAGAAGAAGACTGTGCGAAAACTGCGAGGCGGTCTTTTCGTGCACCAGGTATCTGTTGCAGCAAAAGCAATATTTGTGAACCCTGCGACTTAACGACAGGGTTGACGATTCGAGACTTTGAATTGTACTGCCTTAAATCTGAGCTTTCACGAGAAGATACTGAAACTTCTAGAATCACTTGATGGATCAATGACTCAATGGCAAGACATGATCGATTACTCTACGATAACTTAGAAGCCACAGTCACCTCCTACGATATCGCCTGCCGCGGAGGAGAACCTCGACGAGCGAAAGGATGAATTCGAAAGAATTGCCGCAAACGCTGAATTATGGAAGGCGTTGTGGAGCAGGAAGAGGCAGCCCAATAGAAAGGAGAAGTTAGAGAAGCGCTGACGACTGAGCTGAACAATGTTACTCGACGCCTGAGGGAGCTGTCAAGAAAGAAGACGTGTCCACCCAGGGCATACGAAGCTGGCATTTATCACCTCGAGGAGAACACCATGCGCTGTGTATTCTGCAAGGCACAGGGCAGCATCAGTCGGACTCTTGATACACGAGTATTGCGACAGGAGTATCTCATACAGAGACGTAGATGCCCCAGATGTTTAGAGCTACAGTGCGAAAAAGGCCATTCATGCCCTAAATTCAGAATACCTTGCTTCCACTGTAAGGAGCGGGGACACCACTCCGCCGTTTGTGTGCTCCCGGAGGTCTCCCTACAAATAGAAGCTGAAAGGGCGCACTGTGAGCTTACCATGGACGATCTCCATCGCCGACTACAGGAGCTACGTAATGCGTAGAAGCAGAAGCCATGCAAGTATCTATGCAAAAATACGATATAATTTGCGATGCGATAATATGTGGAATGGGAAGCACTCTTTTGAGGGGCGCGGATCGAAAAGCAGGCGCGATTTCCTTCGAAAAAAAGGGCGCTTCATGGACGGTGATCTGGGTCGTCAATATGGCATTGGAGATCACAACGATCGCACGCCAAAAGACGGGTATATAAAGACCGCTTCGCCCAGGGACGCTCATTTTTCTTCTCCCCTTAACTTCTTATTGACGGCCCTAGTTTTTATATCTTCTTGCGATTGATTGAAGAGTTCTGTTCCGATTAATCCTCTTCAAACCTCCTTACAATTGAAGATTTTTCTTGTGATCCTTTCTAACCTGAATCCCTTGCAATTGAAGATTTCTCTTGCGATCTACTGTATGTTATCTGTTTTTGATTGTTCAAGGTTGTTTGATTGTTATCGTTTTTGATTAGAGCCATAAACGTTTAATTACCCAAGTTTGAGGTCTCTCTCGAGAATGAAGTATTCTATACTATTCTATTCTGTCTACTGAACCACCTCTTATTCCTTTTCAAGAACTGCGGGAGTATCGACTCACCAAAAGCACTCCAATTGGATTTGACGCACTGACGGTCCACAGTGGCTTCATGTTAGTTTCATCGAGGAAAATAGACTTCTTATTGGACTCATCGAATGGACCGACTTGTATCAAACGGGACTTAGTGGTACCATTTCCAGCAAATATCGTTTCGATTACTGGCTGGAATGTGACCTGAAATCTTGTAATATAAAACGAAAGCCCTTGTGGGCGCTATTCGGCGACCAGGTCTGAGGTTAGAGGTTTGCACGTTCGCTGTTTCACTAGTTCTGATTTACTGGTCTCACTCTATTGAAACCTGTGAATTCTTGTGAAGCTGCAACAAATTCCTCCTGTGGTAAAACCTGTCGATGAAAAGGCCGGTGAAAAGGCTCTCCCAGTGGCTCAACACGTCGATTGAATGTGGCAAAAGCAAATTGCCCCAGCCCCTCACGGTCGCCGAACTGCGCCGCCCTTGTCATTTGACTGAGCAAAACGCTTTACAGGATTTTTGACTACTACGCTTCCATATCCAATTGCAACAGGTAATATTGAGCCCCACCATAAGAACACTCGTTATCGTGGAGGCTAATTGGCGTGGCTCGGACATGGCATAAGGACGGCTACTCGTGGGACATTTCAATTCGAGACAACTGTAAAATCATGTTTTGCAAAGACCTGATTACAACTGCCCAGAATAAAAATATCTCACAAAACCTTGCTGCAACGTTCAATTCGTACGCAGGCACGCCTCCCAAATCCCAGGGATTCTCAGAGTAAAGACGTGGCGCACATTCCCACCTAGAAATTACGTCAACGGTGGAACTTCTTGCTCCCAAACTTTGTCGTTCGATTCATATTTTTCCCTTCAGATGCGATCTGTTCAGCACAACCTTTTTGGAGATTCTAATTCTACTAAATTTTATGTGAGTAACCCTCCGTTTTTTACGTTTAATCAAAAGAACCAAAGCTACTGAAATTCTTTTGTGAAAGGTGTGGCTGGGATACAACATCCATCTACAACACCCATCATCATCAGAGCTGGTCTATGTGAGTCTAAGACTTCATTTTCAACCATACGGAAAATTACCATATCGTACCCTTTATTGAGTTTGCTGATAGCTCAAAGGTAGAAGATACGATCACTTGTAATTTCCAAAATGTTCATAATGGGGGTAGTGTGGACCGCAGCAATGATTCTGTACAAGTTTCACGTCAGAAAGTGGTAAGCTAGCGGGGATAAAGCACAATGTTGCTCAAGTGACTCTGCTAGAAACAGTGACTCCGCCCATGTTAATAGGTGTCTTATCTTCTTCCTTGCTTGTTTGTATGCTCTTTCACTGTTTTCTCTGGCCATCCACATTGATTCGTTATCCTCGCTTGGCACAAAGAGGAGTTCATTCAGAGCGATTCCGGCGGGCGCTAACCCCCTTTGAAACCTTTCTATGAGCATAAATGTGGTTGGCGATCAGAGGCATTCGCCCACGAATCCATAAAAGTGGGCGCATTGTCAGCCAGATCTCGCATTTTCGGTTCTGCACACGAATGTGAGTGTGTAGTTGTACAACACGACCAAATACATGCGAAACATGTCATTTAGAAGAAGGTTACAGTTACTCTTCTGTTCACAGTTACTTCTTCTGTACGCTACCAAAAAGCGTAGCTGCACATTCGCGCCTCCTGGCCCCGTGTGAGCTAGATTCGAACGTCGAACCTTACCACTGAACCACCACGACTCGATTCGACGTATGCGATTCCTCGCTTATGCTTCACAGCTCACCACCAAGCCTCCACCCTACTGCACCATTACAAACTTTACCTGCTCATAAGTTGCTTGTGAAATGCAGATTGCATTTTGCTATCTACTATATTTGTAGTAGACAATGGGCTTATCCCACTATCTCACTCAGGCTCACTGTGAATTTAGCTTTCTAAATCTTTTAGCAGTTATTCTATCTCTTCATGAGAGGAAAATCGACTCACCACCTCGTGCCCAGCATCAACAAGTACGTCAGCTATTTTACCCATAAAATTCATATGACTATAGCCGCATTTTGGATTTATAACCAGTATTTTGTAGGATTCACATAAATACAATAACGTTGATAGGTATATTAAAGTCATCTGAAAATCTGATTCACTCTGATAAAAAAGAACACCTCTGGAACGTGCTAAAATTTGAACGAGTGATCAATCTTAATTTGCTTTGTGCCTCACGAATTGCGTAGGCGGAACTATCTATTAAACATGACCGTAATTTTATAAGTGAATCGCTCAGATGTCTAACGATAAGCGACTAGGCCATATTGAAACATCAGGGCATATTGAATAAATTTTACCTACCAACCTGCATGGCACAGAAAATGTTAAGAACATATACAGTCCTCATCATTGCGGACCGGTGGGGCGTGTCAGTGCGGCTGCGTTTGGCGCGGTGCCAAAGTCGTTCTGCACCAGTTGTTGAAGCGGGCAAGTGCATTACTGTATTATATCCTTCGTATTACTCGTTTTCTACCACTTTTTGTCGCATACGCGTTTCAACAAAAAGGCTGAGAACGGCTTCAACAGTGTGCACACTCATACTGGCTGACACGCCCCACCGGTCCGCAATGATGAGGACTGTAACTATGCCGTTTGCAAGAACAGAGCAACTGGAGATTTGGAAGGAGGAAACTGGCAGCATTACAAGAATGGAGTCGGTGAGAATGAAAGCCGATTTAGGTAGTTAACAATCTTTGACTTCTACTGTTTACTCACTACTTTTTGCACCGAGTCGCAGTTACTGTTGCAAATGATGTCAGCTAATGAGCCCTCAGTGTGTAGCAAAAGTATTCGGTTGGCCCACAAAAGATGGCGTATTTTTGAAAATTTCGCGAAGAAGATGGAAACTTTTCTCAGCGTGTACTACACTTTTTAATAGAGAACTTCATGCACTGAGAAAAGAGCTTACAATGGAGGTCGTTCGGGGCGTGGTGAGCTTTTTTCAAAATGGTCTTAGTGCATATTGTAGGGGCACATACGAGGGTCAGAAAACTGAGGTTCATTTTCGCTGCGCGCTTCTACGAATAAAAAAAAACGTAAAAAATAGGTCGATGGTTCGGATCCCACCGAGGACAAAATTTTGCTTTTCTACAATTTTTCATTTTTTGGATCCATGTTTGTCTAAATAATTGGTCCTAACAAAAACATTCACGATAAACTGAACAATCCTACTTTTATGGAGCAAAACTGCTTTTTCTTTCGAATTCGTTAGTATTCACAGACTCAGCTCTTCGGCGCTATGCTGGTGCCAGATGGCACTGGCGCCAAAAATAAATTCTAGAATCGTGATCAGGACTATCGATTACCCCTAGGAGCAAGTTTTGAGCAAAAAAATTTTTTGACTTTTTCGGGTTGTAGGTGACCGACCATTTGGTCGGCAGTGTGAGCGGAGTCTCACATCTTTGTAAGTATCGATGACGCTACGGACCCCGGACAACCCAATAAGCAAACCCAAGAAGGTCAAAACAATTGTTTTGACCGAAAATTCGTTTTTAGTGGTAATCAGTGGCCTGATCACAAATATAACACCTATTCTTGGCGTCCACGCAATTTGGCGACAGAATAGCGCTGAACGTTCCCTATATGGGTGTACATAACGAATTCAGTGGAAAGAAGATGTGGCCCCAAATTGGCTATAATTGACACCACACCAGAAGTTACTATATTCGCGATCAGATCCACTGTCTAGCCTATGAAGACCAACGTTCAGCTACAATCTTGTTCAGTGGTGCGTGAAAATCGAAATAGTTGAATAGCACTTGAGGTATAGCTACTCAGAATGTGCCCATAAATGGCAAATATCCGAGTTATATTCATGCGCAGACACAAATGGAAGCGAGAACAGCGAAATCTAAAAAATGCAAAAAGCCACGACGCAAGGGGAGTCGAACCATCAACCACCACCTTCACTGCCCGATTTCTAACCCACCAACCTATCCGCTACGCCATCCGATTGTTGGTATGGGTACCGCTCTAATCTTTGAAGAGACCATTGCAAGGGGCAGCTCACCCTTGAGCACGTGACCCAAATTGGAAGCTCATTTACGACGATTTTTCGCTTCTGATTCAAATAATCCTTTATAAGGACCCCCCACTCAGCAACTGGTCAAAGTTGCAAGTGACCTACGCCGCATAGAGGCCCAGAACGAAGCAGATTCCAAAGATTTCTTTTCACTCGTTTTTTACCTTTCCTGGAAGCGCGCAGCGAAAATGAAGCACACTTTTCAGGTCCTTGCATGAGCCCCTACAATATGCAAAAAACCGTTTTCGAAAAGCGCACCACGCCCTGAACGACCTCCTCTTGTTAGTCTCTCTAAGGTCAGGCATGGTGACTATTAATTAGATCGTTGAAGGCACGGTTCGCGGTTAGCAGCGTAGGCAGTGATGTTGAAATATGTGTGGGAAGTTGCCAAGTGACTTATCTGTGAACACAAAATGTCGAAGTGAATTTCGGAAGCGTCTTTGATAGGACCCCACCAGCCTCAAACGAGTAAAAGGATAAGAGAACGCGTATTGGGAAGAGTCCATTTGGCTCATTCTCTCTAATGAACGACCCCACAAGAAACAATGGAACTTCCATTTCGTGCTACTCGTTCGGTAGCATTGCTTTTGGCTGGATGGCGGATTTTGAAGGTGGAATATAGAGATGGAGATGCTAAAAAATGAATGTGTCTGCGGTACTTCTCGTCGCTCTCTCTTTCGCTTTCTGTAAACTCATTCCGATCGCTAGACTGGAGCTCAAGCTTTTGTTGACGACCTATCGGATGGAAGCTCATGGTCATGGAACCTCACGTTCTAAAAGTTCGGGAAGGGTGAAACCAAACTCACAAAAAAGCCAATACGGCTGAGCAGCGATAAAATGACCGCAACAGACTACCTCCTGATAGCGAATCACAAGAAAAACAAATGGAAACGCGCCAAGAGGATCTGGTCCCCACATTTCACACCCCCTCACCACTCGAACAACTGACTTGTTCACCTTCCCTGGTAAGACTGCCGCCTAAACCTACACCCGGAAAAACGGCCGTATTGGCTTTGGACAAGTTTTACGGGCGCAAGTCGTTGTGGGACCACGCGTCCCTTTAACTTCATTTGAATTAGGATACTTCAATAAGAGCGGTTTTTTGTGAGATTACCGCTCTTGTGCGTAATCATAGTTAATATTTTCGAGATCTGCTTCTGCTTCGATTAGGAAACACATGAAACCTGAGGTGCAACCGGAAACCTGAGCACACCAACTGCATCTTCTGTTTTTTTAGGGAATACATCCCGTCGGGTGCCATTTTTAGAAGTTCTGCCACTCAGCGTTGGATTTCAGCGCAGGAAGATACCTACAACCTATCTTCGGTATTTGTGCACAAAACCGCTGTTATAAGAGCTGTTTGTTATGGCGCGCGAAAATTTCCGTTTGACATGTGGTTTGGAGACACTTTTGACTCGCTCAGTTTTAGAGGGCTCTCAAGGGAAAGAACTGTTGAGTTCAGGAGAACAACAACAAATCTCTGTTAGATCTAGATTCATACTGCAATTCTTCACAAGCCGCAATGGTAAACGAATTCCAGCAAAACATAAGCACAATGTTTTAAATGCAGCTGTAATGGAGAAGAGTACAGCTGCGTGAAAACGTGAACTAACTCTTCAGGATCATTGGCAGATATTCATGCTTATAACCAGGCCCATTGTAACGCAGTCCACAACATAATAACGCTCTTACTTGTATCCTCCCACCCCCCCCCTTCTGCAGGTGAACGAGAGCAGCCCCGAGTACAAACATGGGAGCCACTCTTACTCATGCGGAAGCTCCGGAACCAGGGCACGCCATCTTTGTGATCATCACAACAGGGGGGTCGTATTTGCCCGCGATGGAGGGGGGGGGGGTCGTAAACGCATGGCCCATGTTGAAGTGGAGAGAGCGGTGATACACGGTACAAGTGAAAAGAAGCTCAAAAGGGACGATGTAGATAACAACAAACAGAACTAGGCACTATCGAACTATT